AGTGGAAAACAGAGAATTTAAAATACAGAATTAAAAATTAAAATGTAACAATTTGTGGATAGATTTCTTTGCTTTATTCCCCAGTGCTGCTGGCTTACCAATAGCCTTCATCTGTAAACGTTAAGTTAATATTATTTTTACAATTTGTAAAATGATTTAGCTGTAAAATTTGATTAATTTGAATGAACACAGGTTGTATAATGAAACTCACATGTTCTCCAGGTGGCATGGTTTTACAGCATAAATAAAAAAAACTCTCTCAAAGAGGATATTTAAGTTCAATTCAATCAATTTTTTTTATACAGCGCCAAATCACAACAACAGTCGCCTCAAGGTGCTTTATATTGTAAGGGAGACCCTACAATAATACATACGGAGAAACCCAACAATCATATGGCTCCCTATGAGCAAGCACTTTGGCGACAGTGGGAAGGAAAAACTCGCTTTTAACAGAAAGAAACCTCTGGCAGAACCAGACTCAGGGAGGGGCGGCCATCTGCCATGACCGGTTGGGGTGGGGTTTTACTTCCAAACTACTACAAAGTACAGCTAAGTTCATAATTCTTTTTAATGACCACTAGGGATCAACTTTTGTAGTTGTGAAAAAGTTTTCTGTCCTAAAGATTTCATACGAAGCCAGGCATTGACCTGGCTTCTTATACCTGTTTATGTACTCAGTCACCTACTGCATAACTCATTGGGTCCATTTTGTAACAATCAAAAAGAAGAATAAATCAGGGTATGCTCATTGGCTAATGACTTGTGAAATTGTTAGCGAACGAGCCAACATGGCTCGAGGCTTCAAAATGGGATTTCACTAAGCAGTGGAAAATGGGAAAGTGGCTACATCTATGTTTTATGCTGTTTATGTTCTTTGCTATGACCCAACCTCCTTGCTCTAGAGATATTCATAAAATTATTCTAACTAACTCAGTATGAAGAAAAGATTAGCATTTTCAACTAAACATCTCACATATAAACTATACAGGCTGAGCACTGTGGCATTTTCCTTGCAGCTCTTTTGAGCATATGGCAGATTGATTCAGATTACTTTTAGTTCACTGAAAGTTAATTACAGTATGTAAGTATGTAAAAGGGAAGGGTCACCAAATATTCCAAAGAGTGTCACTCCAATGTAATTGTGTGTTAAGAAAAACAAGGGCTAAGCTGTGTGATAAATGGGATTTTTGGGAATAAGCAGAGGAGGTAAACAGATTCAGTGTGAAGAAGGTAACACTCAAACAGATGAGTTTTCAGGATGAGGCCAAGCTGCGGGATGAAATAGAGAAGTAAAAAAGAAAAAAAAAAACAGCCGATAAGGTGATGAAGGTGAGGGTGACAGTGCTGAAATAACAACAACAGCAAAACTAAGGAGAATATCTTGCAGAATTTGCAGATAGAAATTGTAAAGTGTGCAGCATTGCAGCTTACCTATGAATAATTGAAGTTTTCTATTTGATAGATATAGAAAGAGCAGCAAAACAAGGATGTTGTGTGAGACTCTTTTTTTGTTTTCTTGTTCCACTTCATCTGCACTGACAGTCAAATGGACAAAGAAGGATGAAGCTGCAGAGTAGAAAAGCATTAGAGAGAAGCATCTGCGTTTCTGGGTAATAGCTTGGTAACTGCTGGAGATCATTACTGATGCACTTTTGCGCTTGTATCTGTTTCCATTTAAGTCTGAATGCACACTGTGCTATCTACAAAAATATTACTTATTTAGAACACCATCTGAGTTAAATGAATGTCTGAAAAAAAGAATAAAAGTGGAAATATGAAATGTTAATTTCAAGCTACCATGCTCTAATGTGTGATTATGACAATATTACATCAGGAAAGTTCTCACTGTCACAGCTGAGACTCAGCTTTTTTTTTCCTTTAATGCTTTTTTGTCACCAAAAAAGGGAAAATTTAGTTGGACAGCCACTCCTGGTGGCTCCAGACCAGCAAGCTGCCAGAACATCAGCTTTTATTGAACTTTTTACAGTTGCTGACGATTAATTAATTAGATCTGATCAGCAGCACCTGGTTGTTATTTATCTTCTTAAGAGTAATCAAGTTAATGCAGCCTAACAGTGCACCACATACTGTGTAGCTAAGCTAAATATAAGCAATTTTAGCCACATTTATTTGGTAGGTACTTTAGATAAATCGATTAGATAAATTAGATACATAGATTAGATAAATCTATGTAGATAGCTACAGAGATTTAAATTCCAAAATGACATAAAGAAACCAAGTACCAATTTGTACTTTACTGAAGTATTTTTATTTTCCCAACATGTCAGAGGGAAATGTATTTTTTCCACTAGGTCCACAGCTTCTATTTGTAGTAGCTACCATTTAATTTATAGAAAGATTTTTTTGTTGAGATTTAGACATAAGTCTCTTGCATCAGGAAGGCATTCAGCATAAACGTGTGCCAAATCAGAACATGTAGATCTATCCACTGTGGCAACCCATTGTGAATAAAGAGGATGGGCTGTGGGGACTCCAGCCTTCATATGACCTTGAATTGGATAAGAGTCTAAGAAAATAGATGTTGTGTGATTTTTTTCATCCAATAAAAAAAACCTTTGGAAAGAACAAAAAAGTTGATTCCAACAATTCTGAAATGTAAATCTTGTCCTGACATTGTAAAAAGCAATCTTTAGATCTCTGACAGTTTTTCACAGGAAAATGTCCAAAAAGCTCCTTCTTTCTTTTCCTGTCAGTCATTTCAGATTCTCAGATTTATTCGGATGAGGACCAGTAAACTTAGCTTCTTAAATTAAAATAAAACAAACTAACATATGCTGTTTGCAGATTGATCAGTCACATATGCTGCTCAAAGAAGTTAAGGTACCACACGATTATCACAATATAACACAAAGTGAGTCAGGTACTCTTCAGGGAACTCAATCTGTCCATTTAGGAAGCATACATTTTTGGAGCAAATGAAAGTGACAGAGAGGCAACAACAAGGCAACGCCAAAAAAGGGAAAGGTTTTGCAGGTGGTGGCCACAGACCAGCTCTCTCCTTATCCTGCCTCACTGATTTTCCTCTAGTTTTGCTTTTTGCCAGCGTCCTAATCGCTGGAGCGGTAACTGCAGTCTTCAGGTTACACAGATAGTCCAGCTCGTCAAGCCATCACAAAAATATTTGCTTTATGTCCATGGACAGTGTCATATAACATTGTATTGCAGGTAGGATGTGGACCCAGACTACAGGACACTGGAGACAGTGCATGAACACAGCTTTACTGCTGAAGATTTTTCCAAAATGCACAAATACAAAAACAAGGCAGGGCTGGAACCAGGAACAAAAACAATAGGAGTCTAGGGGAAACCACAGAACAAGGGTGCACACAGCCTAGAGGCAGGGAACAAGGGAAGACTCAGACAATAAATATACACCAGGTAATGAGGGAAGAGGAAATAGGTGGGAGCACAACTTGAAGTAATCACAGAAGACAAGACAAGGGAAGCAGAACCAAATATACAGCACGAGAGACTGGAGACCATCAAAATAAAACAGGAAACACCTAACACTGAGGCAAAACTGACACAGATAAAAAAAACACAGAGACACGACTAAACAAGGGAGGCAAGAATACACAGGAACTCAAGGAAAGAAATATGAACCAAACTGAAACAGAACTAGATATGAACCAAAACATGAGGGAACTGTGACATGCTACTGTGCAAAACTGAAATGGCCGACCAAACCACAGAACACAAAACCCTGAGTCTAACAGTTTAGAGGATATCAGGAGATGGGGTGTTACATGAGGAGAGCTGGACAGGGCCATCGAGCCAACAGCAGCATCAATATCTGCTCGAGTGTGTGAGGAAAAACAGGAGCACTGCCAGAGCCCTACAAAGTGACCTCCAACAGGCTGCTCGTGTGCATGTTTCTGACTAAACTATCAGATAATAAGTGAGGATTTGAGAATACTTCTGGCTACCAAAGGAAAGCCAGACAGCTTGATATCCCTGGAGTTTAACTAACTTATTATACTGTAATAATAAGCTGTTTTATTTATGTATGTATTTGTACAGTGTAATATGTAGAATAAATTAAATTTGTCACAGGGGAAATTTATTGCAGAAAGTCCTTGTTACTTTTACATTCATTGGTACTTTTTTATTTGTGGTACTTTTACGTATATAGCATTTTAAAAAGCTGAATTTATGATATCAATACGGACTAATTTTCACAGAACAGACCACAAAAAACACTTTCAGCGAAATGACCAACATTTTATTGATCCATCCTCATCTTTCAAGAGAGCATATAGAATGATTACATAAATAAATACTGTTTTTTTTAATTAACCATAATTTATAGATCGAACATTAAACAATCTTTACTCAACGACAGTCTGTCCAAAAAGAAAAAAAAAACTGAACTAGAATTAGAGACTATCTTCCAAGACACTTAGTTTGCGCTCTATAAATAGAGATCTACTGTATGTAAAGATTTCAAACACAAAAACAGGAAAAAGAATACTGTTTTCATCTATAACAAAGACATGCTACTACAACCAACCACGGGCAGCAGCAGAGAAAGAGCATTCAGTCTATGTGCTTATTATTGTGTGTAGTTGTGTGTGTGTTTATATGTATTTATGATTGCTTTCATAGTTTTGTGCACTGACTTTGAGTATTAAGTCTTTTGGCAACAGCATAGCCTACAAATAACAAACTAATATATTTTTATTAGATTCATATTTCAGTTCCTATGCAAATATGGCCTCATATTCTCTATGCGACATGCAGGATACAGAGAGCCAAATGGTCTCCAAGGAAAAATCCACCCTTAGAAACTTTTGCATTCTTTTAAGTACTATAAATCTGCGATATTCAGAAAATCTTTCTGTGCTAAAAATGTCTCTTTGCTTTTTTTTGTTTTGGTTTAAATATTTTTGGAGGCTTTTGGGGTGAAACAGAGTAACTTTCCAGAGTTCATACACCTGTATTACTAGGAGTGTGGATGCCATATAAGGCACTGAAAACCAAATGAAAATAACGTCCATGTCTGGAAGTAGCAGTTGCCTAAAAACTAGATAGAAATGCGCTTTTATTTAAAGTTACATTTGTGCAAATTCAAAAATCTACAATAAGATTTGGGTAGATCTATAAAATTTCATATATCAATGATATTACGGCTTAGAGAATTGTAGTGTACTTTTTTGTAAATTTCATGTATATAATGCCTCATGTATTAAAAAATGTAAAAAAAAAGAAAAGTTTTGTGCTGAAAAAATATCAACAAAATTTGACACAAGGCTAGGCTATACTTGTGTAATACCACTTTGTACCACAAGATGATGCAGTGAGTCAATGTGACCTTCATTTAACGAGGCAAGTTATAAAGATTCTTATTTATGCTCCAGTCTCAGTAGGTAAATCAATAGCTGGACATTGTAACAACACCAAAATTATTAAGACTGTGTGACACAAACTTGTGAAATGAAGTTCATTGGCATTTTATTGTCTTTGAAATGGTTGCTTCAGGGATGGGGAACTAATCTGCAACCATTTGCATTAGGTCTCTATACTCAAAGCAACCTTAGTGAGTAAAGACAGAAACAAAATAATAATAAGATGGAGTCAGTCCGTTGAATGGTGTGAAGTTGGCGAATATATTAGATCTGTGATAATATGGTCGAGGGTATTGCAAGGTCAAGTTTCGTAACTACTTACAATCAGCCTCTGACAGAAAAAAAACCTTCAAAGCACTTACCAGGCACCCACCAAATTTTCCTAGCTGCATAGAGGTTGTTAATCTATCTTTACTCTAGTGTGACTGAGCCAATACAAAGGTGGCCTACAAAAGGCAAAATATTTCCACATGTCCAATGGAAAAATGTCCCCTTGTGTTGATGAAAGTTTCACTTAAGGTAATATCAAAGAGGTACATCTGAAGTAAAAGCTTCTATCTGGTATTATGTACAAATACACTGCATAAGAAAAACCAAAACTCTAGTGCTGGAGACAGCATGTTTCTATGGCTTTCATCCATCAGTTCACTGCATTGTTTCAATATTGATAGCTCTTAAAAATTTTGAGGCGATTTCTTCAATTTTGGCACCTGAACTCAAGGATAAACTGATTGGATTTTAGTGCTCAAGGGTTGAAACACACTTTTGTCAATAACCTGACAAAATTTCATATATCCAAAATGTTAAATTAATGTTAAGACAGACATGGAAGCAACTTGACTGGGTAATGGAGGGAGTAATCCTAATTTGACTTGCCCAAATTGTGGAAGATATGAAAAGTTGGATTTATTTACATGAAAAGAAAATCATAGCAAACAGAACCTGTGGGCTGAATCTGCCAATCATTGGTGAATTTCTTGCATCAGTTCTTCCCATAATCACTGATGTCAATGGTTCAAACTATGGGTCCAGTAATTTTGTGTTGACTGGTGCCATTTTTGGGTAGGAAACCAGTTCTAGATTGGGAGCTGGCAACTGCACATAGGTGGAACAGAACTGTACTTCTTTTACTATACTATATATAAACATTCATATCTGCAAAAGCTAAAAAGAATATTCATCAGTGAGAAGCTCTCTCAGATTTAGGAAGCTCCATCTATAGTTAGACCAAGTTTCTAATTTTCAGTGCAATAATAATTATAATGCAAGACAAAACCTTTTATCATCATTGCAAGAAATGTTAAGTAAAGCCATGTAACATTATATTTTCCTCTTTCTGTGGATGGCACCTAGTATTTGTTTACATGTTATTAAAATGCAGCTTTCAATATGTATACAAAGTAAACGAAACATTAGACATTTCTAGTAGCTGTTTTTGTTTTGCAATTAATAAAAGTATCGTTAAAAGATCCTATTTTATTTACTATTGTGCAAAAATTTTAAAAGAAACTTGAAAACTCCCTTGATCATTGCAAGCTTTTATTCTCGAAGCAACAAGAATAACTGTTGTTCTCTATTTATGCCTGTATATGTCTGTACAACAGATTTAACTGCATGTAGTGTTCTATTTTGAAAAATGTAAAAACCACACTGCTTTAATGTGCATATGCGAAGTTATAAAGCAGTAAATGGCAGTTTGTGAAAGCCATACTGTGTTTTTGGAGTGTGAACTGAAGTTCAATAATAAAGCAACAGCAGATAATGGGCTCCTAACTACACCATGTGATGCCTGATGCATTGCTAGAAAAGCATTTGAGGGTGGATTTTTCCTTCAAATGGGTCCTATTCCAGGAGGAGTGTGCATGCTTCAGGTCCAGCCCAGCACAGTACACGAATCTACCAAACCAGCACAAACAAAAGTCTCTAAAACTAGATAGAAACTGAGACTAGTGTTTTGTTTTGTTTTTTTAAAAAAAGACCTTTGCTTATTGTTGTCTACTGTAGCACTCACTGTACAGTAAATATCATCATAGACATCAAGTATAAGGCTTGAAAGAATACAACGTATGTGGCTATTAGAGCGTCTATGAGACACTGTGCAGTCACAGTATGAAAATGGCACAATAAGCAAGATGGAGAAAGATACAACTCTGTAATCCCACTGGATGAGAAGTCTGTATGAAGATGATGAAGATCCTTCTTTATATGGTTTTCCATGGAGAGTATTTTAGGTACGCAGCACAAAAGCTAACATATAATACTCAAGAATCAGTGTCAGTGTCCACCCTCGAGCCATCTGGAGTGGCATGACCAATCAGCTCGAAGACTGATGTGACACGAGGGTCTCCGCAAAAACACGTCATGTTGCACTTGTCACACGGCGGCTGCTCAAAGCGCATCTCTACTCTCGCCTCTCGACTCAGTTCGTCACTAAGATTTCTCCGATCGCAGCTCTGATGCCTCAAAGCATCAACTGCAATTTGTTCAACTCAATCCAAAATCAGCTGATGAGAGCAATTTAAGCGTGTGTGTTGCTTTTGCTTTTCGCGTCAGACGTGTGTCTCAATGTAGGAGTGCGTGTGAGAGAGCGACGGGGTGAGGGGCGGGCCAGGATCTGAGTCGGCGGCCGAGTTCGGCTCCTGAGTGAACAGCTCCTGATAGGCTCTCTTCCACTCCTGGAACTCTGCCGACGACAGCTGGGGTTTGGCCAGCAGCCTGTCAATCAGCGCTAGTTCCCCCTCCCTGTCCTATGGGGGATGCAGAAACAGAGGAGGGGCGGGTCACTTTTCAAAATATCGCTCTTCTTTAAGACGCAGACACACGGAAAGCAAGACACACACTTAATGGGGATACACTAAGATTTGGGGAGATTTGACATGTGATCACCTTGCATAGAACACTTAAAAAACAACCGTTTTCACCCGTCATTGTTCTACTGAACATATTCACTACCTTCCATGTGTATTCACAATGAATGCATGGGCTACTTTTGAAGTAATTCAGTGTATATAATTTGGTAAATTTCAGTATCGCATTTTGAAACACCATTAAATTACTACTTAGTTCATCATTCAGCACATTATCTACTATTAACTAATCCACTCGTAGGACATTTATTAAAACCTATTTAAATTAATATTTAATATTCTTGGGCAGTATGCAGTATATTAAGGCACTAAATACACTATTGTTAATATATACTGATGCAGTAATGCATTTTAATTACACAATAGTAATAACTTTTGCATGATGATTACCACAAAAACTTTTATAGAAGAACGATGAAAGCATGTCAAAGTGTTGACGTTTCTCTGAGTTAGGACTAAAAGAAGCATCAAAATAAACACAGCTACCAACAGTAAAAGTAC